GCACCTTAGTCTCCAGAGAGACACTGTTGCTCCTGAGTACTTTAGAAAGGTCCCTAACAGCAGACTTTCCCATCGCGACACGCTTTTTGATTTTCTGACTGCTGGTGCCAAGAGTGTTGACTGTGAGCCGAGCAAACTGAAGCTGTGAACAATCTCAGTCTCTTCGTCATCCATCCTGATGCTGCCAATTGGTCCAGTGGTGAGAATCTATTTAAATTCTTTTTCACTAAAATGTTGATACAAGTTGAAGATACATCACACTGAATTTGGAAGATCTCACCACTTAAGGCTCCACAGTGGCATACTCAGCTGAACTCTAGGTTACTATCCTTTGCTTTGTTCACTCAGTGAGGGGTATGGTTTTTTTAAATGTTGGGAGATGCCCATTCTAACTACTGTTGAATGTCTCTGTTTTGGGAAGGTATAATAAGAAAATAAAAAAGAATATATATGAAAAAAAAATGAAAGTGCCACGTGAACATTTCTTGGACTTTTTGGTGTGCATCCTGAGGATTAAGGAGGTGAGTCATCCACTGTGGAGGGCCTTTGCAAGATGCTGCCTAAAGAAGATTTTCAGTGGTGTCTTTGTCAAAGTAACCCTAAAAATGCTGCACACAGTGAAACCTTATGTGCAAGGGGTTTTCCAACTCCAGAGTCTATTCGGGAACCCATCCTGAAATGTGGCCATGCCAAGGTCAAGGATAAGACCATTCCACTGACAGACAGCCCATGATTGAGGAGAATCTGGGGAAGTGTGCTGTCATTTGTTTAGAAGACCTCATTCATGGAACTGCCCTCACTGGAAAGTGTTTGCAGGTGGTCTCACAGTTCTTGCATCCTTTCCGTCTCTCAGGCCCATCATGCTACCATAATAGGTGGGCTTTCTCAAGGAGATGGGCTCACCTGGCTCTCATGGTGAAAACAGCCGTCAACTCAGCCAGAGGCTGAACTAGGAATAGGTTGAAACACAACACACTGGAGGAATTTTCTGAATTGTCATCAAGAATCTTCACAGATAGTATTTTCTGCTTTGCCTTCTGCAACTGGAAGGGAAAGGACAGTGGGTGCTGCACCTGGCTGGGGACGCAAGTCCAGTCTCAAGGAGAAACTCCAGTGCTTTCCACATGGCCACTGCCTACAGTTGCGAGGAAGGACTTCTGCTTTGTTCCGTCTTCTGTTCTGGGATTTAATGTTGGTGAGTAAACAGGACTCCTGCAGCAATGGACCAAGTCCAGGGACTTGGAAGTTTTCAAAAGGCTTGTAAAGAACTTGAAATCTAGTTAATTCGAAGGGAAAAAAAGAAAATAAGAAATTCTCTTAGAAGTCCTTTAGTGATCAAATCTGTTTACCATTATTAAGCCATCCATCATCACTTATTTAACCAAAGATAATTCAGGGATAGCTAGGGAAACATTGAAACACTGGTAGAAAAATGCTCCTGGTACAATGGAAAAAGTAACCAACCAAGACTTTTCTGACTAAAATCTATAGGATTCACTAATGCGAACACTTCCCTAATGAGAGAGAAAAGATGTTTGCTTTTATAAAAGACAATGCATGAGAATGATTGTATGAAACACAGTGTGGATGAAGAACAATGTGAAACTCAATGTACATACATTTTATAAGCAGAGATTAAATCATTTAAGTCGGGAAACAACAGCCTTTTTAACAATTGCTGTTGGCAAAATTGGAAAACTCAAGCAAGATCCACACCTCACTCCATACACAAAATCCAACTCAAAGTGGATCATGGACCTCTAGGATTAAAACCAAGGACTATAAACATCATTAAAAGTTTAGAAGAACTCTAGAAGTCCTAATCCACAATATAAACAGTCTTCCAAGCATCCTGAAAAAATCTACAACCAGGAGAGGATAAAATAGATGAATGGGACCTTCTAAGACTTAAATCCCTATGCACATTCAAAAACTTCTCCAACAGAGTAAATTGGGAAGCCACAGATTGGGGGAAAATATTTGGTAATGATGTGTCAGATAAAAGACATATCTAGAATTTATAAAATACTCGAGTACCACAATAAGATAAAGGTATACAACCTAATTGAAAAATTGGCACAGGATATGAACAGACACTTCACCAAAAATAACATCGAGATGGCCAACAAGCACTGAAGAAATGTTCAAAACCCTAGCTCTAAGAGAGATGGAAATAAAATCAACTATGAGGTATAATCACATCCCAGTAACA